GGGGGGGGTCTAGGGTTATTCCAAGCTTATTTAAGGAAGGAATAAGGTCATCATGAGCCTATCTTGAGCTTATTTGTATTCTTGAAATAAGACAGAAATAAGCATGCATTACTGTTACAACAGGGTCATGTCAGGGTCCAGCAATTGTTGTAACCATGGCCTGGTGAGTCTCACTGTCAGCAGTTACACTTGTTTCGCTCCTCGGGCTCACTTCTTGCGACGCACCTTGGGTGCGGCTGCTGCCTTTGGGTCGCCACTTTTGGCATCCCGCTTTGCAGGTCCCTTGTGGGATGCCGCGGGGGCCGCGGGGGCTGGCTTGGCACTGGCCTTGCCGGAACTCTCTGTAAAAGAGTCGACGATCTTCCTCACATCCGCAATGGTTGGCCTGGGTGTTGCTTTAGGATTAGCCAGGGTCAAGGTAGGCTGTGAGTTCGCGGCAAGTGGGGGCGAGGGGGGGGGGGCTCGATGGCGAGACCACAAGTTATGGTTTAGGATGCAAAGGGTTTTCGAGGTAGTCTGATTGCTGCTGAGTTGCTTGGGATCGGTGCAGGTCGGGTTAGCATCCAAATGCCACGTCCACAGCTGCTGAACAACTTCGTTGCATGCTTCAGCTTCCGTTAGCATCCGACGGATGCCACCCCAAGTTCGGCAGACCGTGCCGGAGGCATGTCTACCATCAGAAACTGAGATTCACAATCAACATGCACTCAACACAGACACAGAAACGCTACAGAAGCAAGCAAGCATCTGATGACTTGTGGAAGAAGCCGAGGGTCCAGGATAGAAGCCCTCATAGGTGCGCCTATCCGGGTGTGCGTTGCGCTGAATGTAGCACTTGGCCACTGCTCCACGACCAGGAAGAAGCTCAGTCCTTACGCTTCGCGCCAGGATCGCAGCAAAACAGCTCATGGGAGCACATACTCAAGTGTTAGGTGAGAGGCAACAGGGGCAATGGGTGAAGGGAAATTGGGTGCTTGCGGGTTTCAAAGCAGCCGGGGTGTAGTACTGCTTCTTGGCATAGATTGTTTCACTTTCTCCTTGGGTCGTCGGCGGAAAGAACAAAAGGCACTAGGCATCTGGTATGCTTAAAAAGGCAGGATGTTCTGCTGTCGAGAGTCCACGGCCTGCACGGGCGTTTTCGCGTGTTTGTTGTTCTGCCATGTGCTTCAGCTCTCTGAACATAGGCATGGCGGCATTGTCAGGATCCAGACAGTTCATGGCTTGCAATACCTCCTCAGGGCAAGTGCTGCGCTTCTTGGTGGCCTTTGGATTCCCCATCATGACCTCAAGTAGATGGGCACGCTCCTCTGCGGAAAGATCTGAAGCAAACGTCTTGAGGGCAGCTTCAGCCCAATCGCGTTTCAACACATTTCGCTTGCCATTCTTCTGCAGAGCACCTGTTCCCGGGGGCTCCGGGATCGCATTGGCCCTGCAAATCTTGGTCAGGGTTGCAGCTTCCAACCAAATCCCCTGTCGCACAGCATGCCTCACTAGTGACTGGGGAGCAGTCACCTGCTTGAGAACAGACGTGTGCTTCTGCAGCGCTGCAGGGACAAGGCATGGCGGCACGGCTTGCACCGAGCAAGCCGTCCACGGGCAATCTGCCTCTGCGCAAGATGTGTTGAACATCCACTTCGTGGTAGAAATCGGGGTCCTTGCATCCGTTCCATCGGTGATGGAGTAGAAGACCTCAGGTCTGAGTTCCAAATGCAAGCAGCGGGCATGAGCCGTAGCCGGTAGGTGCTACCCAAGCCACCTGGTCATCAACAGTGTGCTTCAGGAGATCAACGGATTGAGCTCCCCATCCTCGAAAGCCAAGACACAATCGAATGTGGTCTGGGTTGCTCCGCAGGTAGACGTTGCCTTTCAGGAAAAGCTGGCCTCTCAAGGGGCATGACAGGATTCAGGCAGGTTGCAGAATTCGGAGGATTGGGTTAGGGTAGGGTATGTCATGTGACAGGGCATGTATGAGAGTTCGTCTTAGACTACCGTGTCAATCTCTCCTGTCCAATAGTTCTGGAGCTGGCTGAAATTCCCTGCGGAGGATGCAAAAACCGCTGCTGCGGCCGACACGCAGCGCATATCGGCATCGGTTCCAGCTTTGCCCCATTGATTCTGGACCTGCGGCAGAGACTGTTCTAAATTTCTTACACAGGGTATTCCGTCTTACAACCTTCATTGATGTTGCGAAACGGCAATTGGCACAGTCAGGATGTTTTTTTTGCACTGAATCTGAATGCGAAGGTTGACAGTTTGAGGGCCAGGGATCTGGGGCCTTTTTTTATTGTTTCATGGCTTGAGCTTAGGGGTTCTCACGTATCAGGGCTGCTTCTCTAGGCGAGTTTGCCTGCTTCTCCAGGACTCCAGGCTGGGTCTACTGCTCCGTCGACATAAAAGCATAAGACAGCGAAAGATAACACAGAGGTAGCTCATGAGCTCAAAGGACCAGAACCAGGTCGAGGCTTAAAAACAATAACAACAAAACCAATTCCCTTGCAACGGCGACAAACTATCGCTCTAGGATGTTCTACGCTTGCGTATGATGGTGTGATGATATTCCCCTGTCCTGCGGCTGGGTCTGCACGCACACGTGAACCCGCATTACCTAAACCAAGACGGCCTTGTCTAGACTGTATGCTGTGCCTACCGTTGGGGCCCGCAGCTGTTCTAAGGACAGCTGCAAGTACAAAGACAAGCTGTTGTCGCGGCAGCTGTACCCTGTCTTGCGCAGCTGGCGCACGTATACGCTACTTAGCGTATAAAAAGACATATACGCATATACACCTTTTAATGGCGCGAACCATGTTTGCTGACCCGAAAAAGGCGCTGCAGGCAGCGTTTGCTGATTGCAAGAAGCCGGCGATCAAACAAAATCAACCACAAACATAACATAACAACTTGCATGAAATTTATACCTTGCAATGTTCGCTTGTGCTAAACTCGAAACCCGCGACCAAACAAAACCAAAAACAAACACACCACATTTTTTTAGAAGTAATTACATGACCTTTTTCGTTGGTTTTGCTGTCGGCGCTTGCATGCTTTTAACATATAGACCCGAAAATGGCGCCAGCCAGCGCTTGCTAAGCCCGAGACCGGCGAGAAAACAAAACCAAGAACAGACACAAGCAGAAAACTTAAGAGTACATTACCCTTTTCGCTGGTTTCGCTGTCGGCGTTTGTTTTTGCTAAACCCGAAAATGGCGCAAGCCAGCGTTTGCTAAACCCGAAAACGGCGCCAGCCAGCGTTTGCTAAACCCGAAAATGGCGCCAGCCAGCATTTGCTAAACCCGAAACCGGCGAGAAACAAAACCAAGAACAAGCACAACCGAAAACGTACAAGTACACCTTTTTCTTTATAGGCTTGCTATCGGCGTTTGCTTTGGCTAAACCCGAAAATGGCGCAAGCCAGCGTTTGCTAAACCCGAAAACGGCGCCAGCCAGCGTTTGCTAAACCCGAAAATGGCGCCAGCCAGCGTTTGCTAAACCCGAAACCGGCGAGAAACGAAACCAAGAACAAACACAACCGAAAACGTAAAAGTACATTACCTTTTTCTTTAGTCTTGTTATCGGCGTTTGCTTTGGCTAAACCCGAAAATGGCGCAAGCCAGCGTTTGCTAAACCCGAAAATGGCGCCAGCTAGCGTTTGCTTTTGCTTCCCCGCGAAAAGCCGGGTTTGAGCCAATATGGCTACCGTGTAGCCGCATGGGCTTGAGCCAAAATTCTTAGGGCTGTAGGGTCTACACGCAGATGTGAATTCGTCGCACTGTGGTTCTGCATGTGTGACATATATACATTGTGTGTGTATATATATATATATGTATGTACCTGTGCACACACATACACACGCACACACACGCACACACAAAATGCGCATACACATGTGCCATGCAGCGTCAGCTGCGTGCAAGCGAACTTTGTTTTGCCCGCTTCCCCACGAGCTCACTGCAGAACGTCGTGCAAGGCTGCAGGACGTGTCACGCCGGCTTCGAGCTCACGCATTTGTTGCCATCTCAAGCCCCACAACAAAATCAAGCGTTGGAGTGTTCTTTCCATCACTCGAGGCGAAGAGCAATGGATTGCGATTTTCTTGAGATGTCCGAGGTAGGATTCCTCCTGGAAGCAAGAACAAGCCAGCCGAGGGTTTAGCTGCGTCCTTGCTACATCGTCACAGAAGTGATCCAGAACGTGATGTTTCGGGCGAAGTTTCCATCGCTTCTTCTGCAGCGCGTGGAAGTGCGCAGCCAAAACTTGCCATTGTAGCAAGAATCGCCTCAGCAAGGCTGCACTGCGACACGCTTCCTCCTTCGGCAGGATGATGTCGTGATTGTCCAGAATAGACAGCGCTTCATTCAATGACCAAATGCATTCAGTGCCAGCCCGCCGCACAGGATCCTTAGCTGCACAGCGAAATCAGATGCAAAAAACTTTCGCTGCACATGTAGCAGCTAGCACGTATGCCTGCGCACTTTGTACTTATCTCCTTGTGTAGTGCATGCATGCATCGTCCGTGTCGGCATTGTACTGCACGGCTTTCGTTGTAAGAAACCAGAGAACGACTTTGATTTCCGCAGCCTTCCAAGTCGTGGAGAGCTCCGGGTAATCGGCGGGGGTTCCCAAGCCTGTGTTCGAAGGAGTGAAGAATTTCTTCCGGAAACTAATCCTTGGATAGCATGCGCACAATCAGCCGCAATCGCGGCACAGTCGTAGACTGCGGGCAAGGACTGCAGACAAGATGCCTGGCTCGTTTGCAGGCGGCGTGCATCTCTAAAGATACCATCCTCAGGCTTTCCTGCAGCGTTGCTGCAGCTGGCAACAAACCTGCCTCCAACCAATCTGCGAGGATTGATCCGAGGAGATCTCGGCACACTCCCAGATATATCACATGCATTGGGTCTCGAGTGCAGGATTCCAAAGTCCAGCCCTTCATGGCTGTCCACGGTGACAGGTTCTCGGGGAGCGTCACGGCCAAATATCCGCGATGGTCTAAGCGGGTCAACCGGTGGCCGGCAGAGAGACTGAAATCCCGATAGTTCAACAAAGGCTCGGTTGTCTTTGCAGGCTTGCAAGCAAAGCATGACTCGCACACCAAGTTGCAGCCGTAGTGCCTCGTGAAAAAGTTGCACTGAACCCTGGCCTTCAAGTCGAATTTCATCGAGAAGAATGCGGCCCTGTCAGTGTCAGGGGACCATACTCATGGGAACCTGTGGGCTCAACTCTGCACTGCGCAGGCCAACAAACTTCTCGCGATGCCTCCAACCCTTGGCGATGCTTGCGCCTGCCAACTTCTGGCGAAGGGAACCATTCTCGAACTTCTCCTTGTGGAATCCCATTTCTGCGCCCTTGCCCTGCATGGCATAGTCCATAGACCAAGCCAGGAGCTGGGCCACATGGCGATGGACCTCGTCCCGAACCTGCTTTTGCGTCAAGCAAGAGCCCATGAATCATTGGTCTTTGAAATTCCAGCCGGGCTGCAGCATTGTCAGCCATGAACTCGTGGGGCACGATAACACAAGGGAACTTGATATCCCAAACCTGCATGAGCTGCCCACGTGTTTAACATCAGGAGTTGTTGCCTGCGATATATTTCTTGCATCAAAGCCACGTCTCCTGTCGCGAAAATGGATGAGCAGCTCCACACCATGAATTCCGAATTGCTGTAGAACTCTGCACCGTCACAATGAAAGGTGAATGGCAAGAGTCCTTACACGCATGAGGTTTGCTCTTGCTCACAGTTCTGCGCATGCAGCAGCACGGCACTTGCAGACCAGTGTCTTTCAAGGGCATTTCCATTTTGCAGGGCTGGATGTTCTTGATATTCTGTAAGACCCTTGCAATGTTCCCAGAATTCTCGCACAGCAGCATCGTCACGATGTCCCGTCATGGATTTCGCGAACTTCAGGGACGGTCAGCACAGACTGCGCAAGACAACCACATACACACACACACACACACAGAGACACACTTCTCATGGATTCTCTGTTGTGCCTGAGCAGGACCTGCGCAGGCAAGAGCATGCAGGATCTCGTGCCGGAGAAGAACCGGCACTTTCACCGGAGATGGCTTCGCGGAAGTATGTTCCTGTGTGCCAGGCAACAACTTTGAAGACATCCGTGAGATTCTGTGTCCAATCTTTAAATTGCGAGCCTGCAACTGCATGGTGGTCCAATACGGCTCCAAGTTTATACCATGCAGGTTTTGTAGCCACCGATGCAGATCCCTTTCTTCGTGCCCCTTCTGGAGGCCGTAATTGCCAAGCGACGCGAACATCGCAATGCTCGGCAGCTGGGCCCCGTCTAGCAACTGTGCCCGCGCAATTTCAGCCACCGTATGGACATGGATCTTGCCAGAGCCGATCAGGCCTGACACGACGTGTTTGTGTCGAAGCCTGTAACATGAGAAAACCGATTGCAAAATACCAGCCGCTTCAGCTAAGTGTCGGATGAATTCTTCTGCTTCGCGGCTTCGAGGAAGATCTTCGTAGCGGGTCCGTTTCAACGGCCTCCGGCCGAATGCGCGAGATTGAAAAACACCCCCTACAAAAACTAAAGACCCTACCTATAGTCTCCATTGCAGTTCCTTTTTTTGTTTTAACCAATATATATCAAGGATTTTATAAGCTATCCCAAAAAAGGAACTACAATGGAGACTATAGGTAAACCCTACAACCCTGTCATACACAACGATAATACACCGGGTATGCAAGAGGCGTAATAGTGTAAGATTAGGGTAGCCAGGCCGAATGCGCGAGGTTGAAAACCCTTAAAAACTAAAGACCCTAAACCCTACAACCCTATCATACACAACGATAATATACCGGGTATACAGGAGTTGTAATGTTGTAAGATTAACCCTAACCTTGGGTACTGCCCCCATGCAGTAGCACCCTATAATACTGTTAATCAGTATACTGAGTGGTGGCAGTACCCAACCTAAACCCTACAACCCTATCATACACGACGATAGTACACCGGGTATACAGGAGGTGTGATATTGTATTAGGGTAGTACTGACAAGGGCAGTATTCAAAGCATGATTTTGAATTCGACATCTTTGCGCGAATCAAAGCGCACCGAACCAGAAGTGTACATCGAACAACCTGTCTACCCTTATACTCTTGCGGAACAGATGTCTCCAAACCCCGAAATCGAGCAGCCCTTTCCCTCCACAGGTTTAGGTTAAAAGTATTCTTAAATTGAAAGCAGGCCTGTCTTCAGAGTGGCCGATCGTAAAGCTCCTGAATGCTCGGGCGGTTTAGGGTTTAGAAGGTTGGTCGCAAAGAAAATTTAGGGTTCCATTGGCTGTTGGCATAGGATTTCGGGAACTGAATATCGAATTCTTGGTCCTCTCCCCAACAATAGCAGCGGCAAGCTCGTCTGCCACAACACAATCCGAACCGCGAAACCCTAAAACTCTAGACCCCCACACCCAAAACCCGGAAACCCTGATACACGAAACCTTTAAAACCTTCACCCTAAAACCCTAATAGCCCTAAAGCTCTAGGCACTGTAATCCCCGAAACCGTTCAACCTTAGACCTGCGGGCATGGGTTTAGTCCAACGTGCAAAGCAACCATAAGCCTACGCCATCATCATCACATGGGTTCATCACTAACATCACCATCACATAAAGCTGCAACACCAGAACACCACCCAGCATAAACAACTTCCTTTGTGACGTCAACATAAGCCCTATACCCTAACCCCTGATCCCTAAACCCTGATCCTTAATCCCCAAACCCTAAACCCTGAGACCTCTGATCCCTTTCAACACCCACACCCCCAAAAACACTAAGCCCGGGAGCAAAACCATCCTAATTCCCGCGCGGGACTGATAGAATAGAGGGTAGTGGGAGTCTACAATTCGAGAATGATAACGGGACTTTGGATATTTCTTAGATACGGTATATTTCTAGTCGAAACGAAGCCACGCTAAGCAGCCCAAGCTTCGAGCAATCACGCCGTCGTGGCGATACATTCGGCCTTAAAGTGCGGCGGATGGTTGCAATCAGTTCGGGTTCACTTTGGTTATCGCTTCCCTGATGGTCTGCTTGGGTGGGTTATACTGCTTCCAGTAAGAGGCTGTGATTTAGATTATGTTGCATCCCAAAGAAAATCGGCTGGATACTAGAAGTCAAGACGATCTGCGACTAAGTCAACGTAAAGCTGTAAATCATTGCGCATGGACAGGGCTGTCTTTCTTGTCTTGACTCAAGTCCTATGCCTTCGAACAGTAAATCCATCAAGCCCCGTCAATCATCCTCCTGAGTTTAGGGCTATGTGAGGTAGATCCAAAAGTTTTAAGGTACTCAGCCTTTTAAGGGTTTTGGGCTTAGCATGTTGGGGTTTAGAGTATACTTCTACTTAAGGTTTCAAGGCTTCTGCCTGGTTTGAAGCTTCGGCCTTTTGTCCCAAAGGTTTAAATAGGGTTTAGGGAGTACCCTTGAACCCCGGAACCCTTAAATTAAAGCAAGGAACCGTTCAAGCCCATACCCCACATCTAATGCCGAAACCAACCTTCTAAGGACTATACACAGTAATCCTCCCAACCCACGCAAAAGCCTGAAAGGCACGCGCTGTCAAATCCAGGAGTCGTTGCTTCGAACTAAACCCCTCGGTTTAGGGTTTAGGGTTTAGGGTTTAGGGTTTAGGGTTTAGGGTTTAGGGGTTTAGGGTTTAGGGTTTAGGGTTTAGGGTTTAGGGTTAGGGTGCACCACACTCCCTCCCGGCCTTCCCGCGATTTCTCCATTAGCCGTTCCTGCGTGGGATGCGAACAACAAACTATGGCTAATCCACAGGGCACTTTGTGTGAAGCACAGACATGCCACGATAAAGTGCAGCACAGCCGGTTTGAGTCGTCAAGTCGACAGCAAAAGGTCTGGATGGCTTTCAGGCAAAATCTGCGATGCTCATGCATGCTCGTCCGAGAAGCATAGCTACCGTTGTATGTAAACATAGACACAGCATACGAGTTCATGCATGCGCAGGCCGTGCACATCACTTTATAAAAACCTGCGACAGCAGCTCACGGCTCACGCTTTGGCTTCGGCTCCCTCTTTGCCGTCTTTGACTGGCTTCGCTTTGGCCTTCTTCTTTCTGTTGGCGGCGGAGGTGAAAGCCTTGCCCGCAACCTGGCTTCAAACACAAAAAGCCCATTAACTTATGTGGTGGGGATTGGATGAAGTGGCTGTGGGAACCTATTATAGTGGAACCCGGGAGCCTCGGCTTTCTTCCACCATTCGATCTTGTCTTTCGATACAGCCACAAACTCACGGAAAGCCTTTTGGTCCTTCCTCTTTTGATTCTTCTTGCGCAGCCTCTTCTGCACTTCTGTGAACATCTTCGCGCACTCTTTTGAGAATGTTGCCAAATCCTTTGACAACGTCCCGCTCATCTCAAGCCCCTGCAAACTCAGAGACAGCTTGCTAGCATCCCCAGACATCTTGAGCACCTCTTTTGCAATGTCCTCAGCCTGGTCTTTGATGGTGGCGGGCTCGACTGTTTCTGTGGCTTCTCCTTTCTTCTTAGTCTTCTGCTTCTTCTTGGGATTTTCGGCTGCTTCGTCAACCAAGATATCGGCAAGTGCCTTGCCTCCGGCTGCGCCCTCCGCCTTCATGCCCGGCAGGGCACCAGGACAGAATACACCATCCTGCCCGGTCAGCTGCTCCATTGTAGCACTGTCATCCACATGCATGTTGGCCCCCATTGTTGCCCTCTCACCAACAATCGTGTCCACGTTGACCTTCCTGGGCTGCCGCACATAGTAGAAAATCTCTTCACTGTCGCTCGGGAACTCCTCGTCACGATAATACCGCCCTGACGCCCGGAGCTTCTTGCAAAGCTCCTCTCCTCTCTCGGGGTAGGTCTTCACGATGTCCCTCTTCTTCATGGCAAGAGCTCCGGCTCTTGCCGTGGTCTTCTTTTCTCGAATGCGCTCCACATTCACTTTCACCCTCAGCATCTGAAACCGATCGGAAAAACAAGGTTTTATGCAACTAGTC